TAATTAATTAATGTATGAATGTATGAATGTATGAATGTGCAAATGTGCAAATGATTAAATGAATGAATCAATCAGAAGCCGTTATTAATCACAGTCACAGCTCAATTTTTTACAGTTAACTTATTAAATAGTTTTTCTAATATTGCGCTTCGTGGCAATTGCTGTTGGAAATTCCATTTCGGCTTCCGGTGCGACTAATGCCTATCATCCTACCAAACAGTTTTCCCTTTGAACTGCAAAGTCACATCTCAATAAATGAGTCACTAGGGCTTTCTTTAAAATTCTCTTCTCCGCCATAGATACGTTCGAGACCACTCTACCTTATGTTCTGTTTCTCTGCTGTCTTCAGCCACGCTCGACAGTTTGACCCTGTCTTCTGAATAAATCACATCCTTTGACCGACGGTCGACAGTTTCGCCACATACAAATGTTCACTTTATGATGAGATGTACGTGAGAGCTGAGAATGGCGCCTCGCACTGACGACATCCCACAGGATGCCGACGCAACGTCTGTGAATGTACCGAGTCCACGGTGATCCGCTGCTGCAGGGTACTACAGTTACTCAGACGGATCGTGAGGCGACACCAACACTGGACGCAATTCGAAGGCAAACCGAATGGGAATTCAACCAGTGGACTTGTTGAAACTGTTCTAAAATCGCATTTTCGTTGTGTCGGCTTGGCTGAGCCACATTTTCGTATGTACCGGATCCAGGCGGTACGGCCTTCTACACTTGACGGCCCGTCTTTGCAGACTTTTCTCAGACAGCGAACCTCAACTCGTCATCGGGACAGGTTCGTGAAGGTAGGGTCGATAAAGAGTGGCACGGAGACAGAAGAGATAGGAACCCTGACAGAGAAATGACGAGGATTGAATGAAGACTTCCGCCAAAACGAGCAATGAACTGTTGCAATGCCAGCAATAGGAGCCCTCATGAAGTAGCCCAGCAACCGATCTCGCAGAGCGGCACAGCCCGGCACCACCAGCATCAGTTGGCCAGAGAGGCTCAGTGCCTGCCTCCTCTCATTCTCTCCGCCTGGCTGCAGACTCGTCTTTTTTGGTACCAGTTTTGAGGATGTCTGTCGAGTGATATGAAGGACAAAAGTTAAGCGCGTTATCAACAGAATTGAAAAAGGATGTCTTGTCGGCTTAGTCAAACCAAATGTCATAGTTATAACGTAAACGATCACATAAAAGTGGGCATTAGATGACGTCCTCTAGTGAGACCAGTCTGCGAATCACTTCATCATGTAAGTTCATACGAAAAAAGTATATACATTAAACATATTTCAAGGAAGACATCGTCTCTGTTGCGTGCATATATGTATGCATTTATGAAATGAATGAATATATGAATGTATGAATGTATGAATGTTTGAATATTTGAATCAATTAATGTATGAATGTATAAATGTGTAAATGCATGAATGTATGAATATATAAATGTATGAATGAATGAATGAATGATGAAATGTACGAATAAATGCATGAATGTATGAATGAATAAATAAATGAATGAATGAATG